ACTCTTGTCTTTATCTCAGCACTTGGGAAGCAGAGGCAGGAAAATCTCCCAAATTTGAGGCTACCCTGGGCTACATAATAAGAATGAATAAATGCATAAACTGTTTTCAACTTTCTCCTTTTATATATGGGGTGTCATTTTAGGAAAAAAGAATAACCCCACCAGTAAATGTCAGCCATTACATTAGAGCAGAAACTTTGTGGCCTATCTACTAGCCAGAAATAATCTCTCCTTTAGGAACTTGGGTTGGAGTAAGAGAAATTACATATTTATGAAGTGTGTAAATGAGACAGAATTCTCTGCAGAAAGAAAAGGCTGGAAGGAGGCTGCTGAGAGCATTAGATGTGGAACAGAGCTGTGAATCTGGAAGTTGACTTCCATTTCATTGGGTAGTCATAAGACCTGGGACAATCTACTTATCTTCTGATTCTGCTTATTCATCATAAAAATGGATGTAATATCTATCCTGAAGGGACTTTGTGAGGATGAGAGCAAGCACTTAAAAGTTGTGGAAATTATTTCATCTTTCAACAACCTCTATCCACAAATAAAAGAAATTGGTCCTAAAATAGCAAAGCATTCTTCTGTTAAGATACAGTCTCACCACAGAGCCTAAGGCTATCACAGGAAAAGCAAAAGTGTTCCACCTTTTTCAGGAATCACGAAGCACATACAGACTGTTGCATATAATTTTAGAACATTTATGGACTTCTTAAAGATGCTATCAAGCCCAAAAAATGGTCCAAAACCCTCATTTAAAATAAAAAGGTATATCTCTCTCACCATTTTGTGCCTCTGCTGGGAGATCACAGGATCTATGCTTGGGTGTGGACTTTCCAGCGAGGCCTTAAATGGGGGGAGGGGGAGCACCCACTCTTCTACGTGGAGCCCACTTGGAAGATATCAAGGACACCAGAAGAAACAAGGATGGAAAATAAATTCATAAAGGCTACAAGGGCCAGTAGGAGAAATACCACCCAGCTGGGCCAACATCCATGTCTTGGACACAGATGATGAAAAGGCCCAAGAGTTCAGTATCTTGCCACAGTGGAAGAAGGATCATCTACATCTATGTCACCCCCTCCAAAGCTCAGGGACTCTTAAGGAAGTGGATGGTGGAAAGAATGTAAGAGCTGGAGGAAGGGGTGGTGTGTAGCATAAAACTGTCCTCCGAATGTCAAGCTTGGTTTCACCTGGTGGCATAGGATCATCACAAACACATGACTGTTGAGGCTCAGCAGGAAAGGAGGGGCCAGAGTCAGCCACACCACCCAGCCAACCTGTCGCCTTGAGCTGCGCAACGGGGAGCTGCTAGAGTACACAGCTGAAAACCCAGGAGGCCTGCTCACTCACCATTTTGTGGCCCTGCCAGAAGGTCACAGAATTCATACTAGTATGTGGACTTTCTAATGTGGCCTTAAATGGGGGGGGGGTCACACACTCTTCGGTAAGTAACCCCTCACCCACTGCTCAGTTAGTGAGCCCAATAAACTCACTAGGATTTTTCAAAAGAAAGAAAAAAGGGAGGGAGGGAGGGAGGGAAGAAAGATCTATCTTATCCACACATTTTTAAGATACAGATATAAATGAGCAAGGAGAGGCTTATAAACTAAATCCTTCCCTGTTAAGAATCATCAAGTTCTCTGACAAACAGTAAGGGAGCAAAAAAAGCTCCACTGACCTGCATTAGCTCAGGGCCTCCTGTCAGGATCTGCTCTGTCACTTCTGACAACCAGAAACACCTGAGGAAGCTTCCTTTCCTCTTTAACAACATTTTGAAAATCAAACCATGATTGACTTTAAAAAAAAAAAAAAGTCTAATTCTACTTTACAACCTAATGATTTAATAAGCTTGGCTCATTATTAGCCCTGAAAAACATTTTCTGATTTTCTGTTACTTCACTTAATACCTCACTTAATGACCTCAAAACTCATCCAAAACGTTTCTTATTGAACTCAATTGCTTTCAAATGTAAATTATTCATTTAAAAAACAAAAACAATGAGCTCCAGGCCAGCCAGGGCTACATAATGACACCCTGTCTTTAATTTAAAAAAATAAATATAAAAAAATTAAAAAACCTGCCTAAAATAAGAGTCAGAATCTAAGTCAAAAAAGACAAAAATTTAGAATTTGAGACCTTGAAAAAACAGGCATCTTAATATTTCTGCTTCCTGGAGTTTCCTGAGTACTTTGATGGAATATTTTAAGTTTCAATAAAACAAAACAGTAAACAAAAAAATCAGAATTTAAAAAATAATTCATTCTGTCAACAAGCTCTTGGTAGGGGTAAAAAATGGTCTGGTTTATTCCTTATTCATGGCAATTGCTCAGTAAGTATTTACTGAATCTATATATCCTGAATTCTATATTAGCAATGAGAAGACAGCTGAGAATTAATTTTAAGTGCCTTACATATAGAACCTGACTTTTAAAAGAATGCATTGGATATACAAACCAAAGAATGAGTCGATGACTATATAAACAAACAACAAAGGTATAACTCAACTAAAACCTGCAGACAATGTGGATTATAAATTTTCTGCCACATTAACAAGACAGACACTCTAACAGTTTAAGTAAATGTTAAGGTAAATGCAAATTATAAAAACTGGCTTAAAGTCTTCTAGCTTGACATAAAAACACAGCTGTACCAAAATTATCTGCCCCAAATCATACTATTACTTTCATCTTTAACTAACGTGAATGTTGAATTAAACATCTAACTGTTGAGGAAACAGAGTTGAAGAAAAAAATAATCAGGTACTTAAAACATGCCGTCTTTACCGATGTAGTGTTTTAGACCTAAAGAAAATCAGACTACTAAATTGGAATGAAATTGAAGGAGAATCCAGAATTCAGTCTGTTTAACAGTTTTTTGAAAGTTAAATAAATAGAATACCTCAGGAATTCCAGGGGGGGTTAACAAATCTGGGCATGTACTATCTGATTTATATACTGATAGATATTCAGACATAGACTATGTCTGGGTGGTTGGGAATTTTCTTTTGTTGTTGTTGTTTTTTGACAGGGTCTCCTTAGTCACAGCTTGCCTGGAAGTCATGATGTGGACCAGGGTGGCCTCCTCCTGGAAGAGAGCCACCTGCCTCTGACTCTCAAGGCCTGGGATCAGAGGTGTGTACTACAATGCCTGGCAGGAACTTTCTTTAAGGACACTAAACTCACAATGCAAATGAAACACTTAGAGAAATTATTTAAATTATCTTGGTCTCCAAACCTACCTTATCTAAAATGTAAAGAACTTAGCACTTACCTCAAAAGGTTTACAGGACATGACACACAGACAAAACCAAAACCGAGCACCAATTTGCTTAGCGGGAGCAACCCATCAGCAATGGGGTTTCACAATTTGGATGAAACAATCGTGCAAGACATAAATGTTCAACAAATGAACAGAAAATTGCATAATCCCAATCCTGAGGAGGCTGAGGCAGGAGGAGGAGGAGGTAGAAGTCAGCCTGGCCTACACAGCAAACACTGCCTCAAAAGGGAACAGAAAAAGAAAGTGGAGAAAAGAGAAAAGCGGGCGGAGAGGGAAGGAAGAAGTTTGAGTGACTGGACAGCTGTGTGTATTAACAAGTAAATAAAGAGTCCAGTTTGTGGAACACATTCGTTCTATAAATTAAGATATATTTTAAGAATTTCTTTCAAAAATAGAAACTGGTTGGTGTTATACTTTGGTGTCATTAGAAAGAATGAGTTAAATAGCAAATAAAAACAGTATGCTGAATAGAGCAGTCCCATAATCAGGCAATATACCCCAACACAGTATCCCATTTACAAGGGCTACAAGCTATCTATGAAGGCTGATGCAAAGTCCACAGTGAGCAAAAAGGAAGACCGCATTTTAAGTCAACCCCGTACAGAGCCCCTTCTTGCTAAGAGCAGACCAATCTAGTCAACACAGTTCCCTTCCCTTCCCTTCCATACCAAGACCCTGAATGAAGAAATGATAATAGCGCACTTCCAGGGACACCACAGGCTGGTGGAGATTTCCTTCATCTTGTTTCGTGTGGTGGTTGCACCAGTAAGTACAGTTGCCAAATCCAATAAAATGAAGTACTAAGAGCTGTGTCTTGTATGCCAAGCTAATTATACAGTTTTCACGAGGCTCCTTAAGAAAGCACTCCCTATTTTTCTCACTGAAAAAAAAAGAGCTTAAAAAAATCACAACAAAATCGATACTTATTATAAAATGAACTACAGAATGATCTGATTCAAACAAAACATCTGGCATTAGATATTCTGTTAACTTCTCAGTTGTGGGTGACGTGAGTCTGTCCGAGATCACCGACCACTAGAATTTCGCGTGTTCTATGTACTGCAGAATCTGGGAATGGATGAACTTTTCAATCGCGTCTTTCACTTGCCAACAAAATTCTGGATTGCCAGTGGAAAGCTACTCGTGTGTGTCATTCTGCAAAAAGCCTCAGGAGAAAAGGAGGGCAGATTTAGGAGCTTCCAACCAGAAACTCCAAACTCCAGATTTTATCTGTGGGACCAACAGTTGCAGGGAAACTTGGATCAAATCTCTGAAGTACTGTTTTTCTAGTGTCACAGGATAGAATGGAGTGTAACTGGTGAAGGGGCTTCGGAGATTAAAAGCCCTGCACTGTGCTGACCCCAAGCTTCACCTGGCACTCTGCACAACACCCACCTTACCTGAGCTAGTCCAGAGCCTTCCAGGAGGATAGCACCATACTACAAACACCCTACACTGTGCTGACCCCACATTTCACCTGGCACTCTGCACAACACCCACCTCACCTGAGCTAGCCCTGGAGCTGGAACAGTGTCAGGATTTGCACCCACCAGGCATGGAGTTCGAGACTGGGGTGTTCCGCAGGGAAACTTCTAGAACTGGGGATGTGCACACTTTGATCGGACAGAGAGGAGCAAGCCCGAAGGGTGCAGCCGCTGGTCAGGGCCCCTTCCCCCGCCGGTCCCAGCCGGTCCCCGCCCGGCCCGCGCCGCCTCACCAGCCGTCGCCCGCGGCGGGAACTCCGACCGGCCCCGCGGCCCCGAACATGAACGACCCCCGGGAGCGCGGCCTCGACGCTCAGGCCCGAGGACAGAGTCCCTGCGCGCAGCACCCGCTACTTCCACCGCGCACCTCAGCATGTGGCGGGCGACTTCCGGAAGCCGGCGGGGAGGCGGAAGCCGCGGGCCGGAAGCGCCCATTCGCTGCCCTGCGCTGCCGGCCCTTCCTGTCCCTCTAGGGGACCGGGAAGCTTCACTCTGCCACTTTAGGAACTCGGACTCCGTGCAGTTAGCTGGGGACCGGAACTGGGGGAGCGGAAACGGAAGGGAGTCCGTGGCGACCAGCGGAGCGACACGGTTGCCATGGAGACCGACAGTCGCACCAGCGGTGAAGCCCGGGCCTCGAGGTCATGGGCACGTTAGCCCGGCTGCAGGCTCGGTCGTCGTTTCTAGAAACCCAGTACTACTATAGGAACCGGTAAGTAAGTAACGGAGAGAGACGGAAGCAGCGGAAGCTTCCCGTGAAGAGTCCTGGATCAGGAAATGGCCGCACTTCCCCCCATGGCCTCAAGCAGGATCAGACCCTTAAAATGCCCACAGTTGGGGGATCGAGCCTAGGGACCAGAAGTACCCCCAGCTGGGTATGAACTGAAGAAAAGCCGGCACAGCAAAGTGTGTGAGGGAAGCCCAAGGCGGAGTATTCCCTCAATGGGGAAACTGAGGCAGGAGGCTGACAGTGAGTTAGGACCAGCTGACCAATATAGAGAATTCAAGACAGGCCTGAGCTACATAGGGAGTCCCTCACTCAGGATGGATGGATGGATAGATAGGGAGAGAAATAGAGAGGTGATAGATGTGCGTGTGTGTTTTCAGTATTTTAAACAGCACTGAACAACTTGATGAAACGTATATTTCTAGGTTTAGTGGCCGAAGGTACCCCAGTCTGCCCAGTTAGTTAGGTGAGGTCACAATGTCCGTCTGTCCACTTAGGAATTTCAGCTTGGTTTATCTCACAAACACCATGGAACTCAGTTCTATGACTCATTTGTCTTAAGGTGAAGTTTCTAAACCACTGTGAGAAGGGAATCAATACAATACACTAATACACTGATAAGGAAGATGTTGGGAACACCCTCTGACTCCCCACACCCAAACTTCTTGCCCAGCACAAGGGTCATGTAAACAGCCACCTTCTGGAGGCACGACCCTGGGAGTTTTGACAACTTAGGAGAAATCACAGAAAGTCCATTAGACTCAGGTAAAGTGCAGTGAGATAGCAGACCAGTGGAAATCATGTCAGTATGATACAATCCTGCTAAGCAATTCTTCCTGATGTATATATTATCTACTGCTTATTTTACCACGTGCCTCTTACAACACCAATCATAATTCAATATTATAGTCTTTGTGAGCTAGTATAGATCTCGTGCTAGAACTCGGAATAGTGTCTTGTTTGGCATTATTTCAGTTTCCCATGTCTGTCTTTCACACTTCCTGACACCTAATAGTGATACAATAATTATTTGTTGAATACTTATATTACTGAGTCTTCCAATTAATCAGTTTTTAAGTTAAATATAAAAACACTTAAGTTTTTATCTTTATCTTTTATTTTCAGGCCCTGTGTTTATGATATTAATATATAATTGAAATAAGTTCCGTCTCCTGATACTGACAGCCTAGTATGGAACAGAGGCATTTAAAAAATAATTGTGATCCACTCTGGATACGGGACCCAGAGAAGCAAAGCAGGAGCTGAGCTGTAAGCTGCTCTCCTGCTGGCTCAGAGTGCCAGATGGTACTGTGCAGGCTGTTGGGAGAAAAAGTCATCAGTGATCACACCCAGCTTAGAACCTGCATGCTTAATACTGAACTGGCACGATATGTCCATCCAGTGGTGCAGTAGTGGTATGAGTGTTTTGAGGGTAATCCACCCCTTCCTGATTCGATTGGAGGCCTGCTCCATGGGAGGGAATACATGCATAGCACTGTAGAACTGGTCAAAAACCTATGGCTAGGGAGGCCAAAGACCCTATGGGAAAATCTACTACTGATATTTTGCCCAAGTGGACATGTTTATACACCTTGAAAAGTAATAATGAGGGGGCTGTAGAGATGGCTCAGCCGTTAAGAGGTTTGGCTGCTCTTACAGAGGACCCAGATTCAATTTCTAGCACCCACATGGTGACTAACAATGGTCCATAACTCCAGATCTGACACCTTCTTCTGACCTCTGCAGGCACTGCACAACACTGGTGCACTTACATACATGCAGGCAATACATTTATATACATAAAATAAAAAAATAAAAAATAGCTGGGCGTGGTGGCACACACCTTTAATCCCAGGACTAGTGAGATCAAGTCCAGCCTGGTCTACATAGTGACTTCCAGGCCAGCCAAGGCTGCAGGAAGACCCTGTCTCAAAAAGAAAAAAAGGAGAGAGAGAGAGAAAGAAATGATAATCATAGTGGGAGAACATTATATAACCATTGTGCTAGGAACTTTTTCAAGTGTTCTTTTTGTTTTCACAGTGTTTCAAGTTAATGTATTAATCTATACTTTTAGAGCTCTTCAACAGTGTTCCATAAAAGTTCAATGAAGGGCTGGAAATGTAGCTTGGTTGATTGAGTGCTTATCTAGAATGTATAATGGCCTGGGTTCAATCCTCAGGACCCTATAAAGCCAGGAGCACTCCGCAGGTAGAGGCAGGAGAATCAGAAGTTGAATTCTATTCTTAGGTACTTGAATTTGAGGCCCATTTGGACTGCATGAGACCCTGTCAAGAAAGAGAGGTTGAGGGGGGTGGAATAAAGCAAGGAAAAGAGAGAGAAAGACAGACAAACTTGGTGAAATACACAATAAGCAAATAATATAATTTGTCTTTATAAACCTTGGTGTGAACCTTTGTCTTCCTCCCCTGGATTTTGACAATAGGCATATTTCTATAAACTTGGAGATTACTTGGAAAAATGAAATCATTCTAGACAAACACCATGATGAAAATAGCATTTCTAATATTTTATTTATAAATATTGCTTTCAATGTAAAGGAAAGTCATTAAATTACAAAGGAAACAAGATTTCAAATGTGCCTACTTTTTTTTTTAAAATAGGGCATTGATAATTTAGGGCAAAAAAATAATCATGAAATGTTAATATGGACCAGGGAGAAAGCTCAGTTGTTAAAGGCACTTGTCTTCAAGCCTGAGGACTTGAGTTTGGTTCCCAGGACCCACATGGTAGAAGGAGAGACTTGACTCCTGCAAGTTGTCCTCTGTCCCCTGCACAGTTTCATGGGCACTCATCTATACACACGAACAATCAATAAGTGTAAAAATTTTAATCAATACACTGTAAATAGGAAAACTCCTTGAGAAATTATTGTCACTTCCCTTCGGTTGTTGAATCCACTGGTTCTTCCCAAACTTTCATGTACCCTAGAATCATCTGAGGAGTTTGTTAAACAGGCAGATTTTGAATCAGCATGTCCCAAGGCCAGAGAGTCTGCTTTCCTGACAGGAATTCACTGACAGGGACTCTGCAGTCCAGTAGGACAGGCTGTGTAGGGTTTTACTGTACTTCTTAAGCATCCTTCTGAGGGATGTATCTGTTCTTTAACCACGGGGAAAGGAAAATGAGATTCCCATACTGTAGATACAAGGTTACACAATGCTGTCCATTCCCACGGATCAAATTCTCTTCCTGCCAACTGGTCTGATGGTCGGAGCAGGAAGCACCAAGACCTGCAGGTCCATTGGCAGGAGAGAGCCACTGGAGGAGAGGTCTGATTGCTCCTGTTTCCTTAGCGCCTTTCTTCTCTGCTTCTAACAACACAGTGACAAAAGTGTTTCTACCTAATGGCACTAGAATGATGCTGAAGTTAAAAGATGATTTTGTTGAGAAATATATTACTAAATAGTGACATTGGTCATTTTCATGTTTTTTTTAACTTGTAAAATTATTGAGAATTTCATATATGCATATAAGATGTTTTGATCAAATCCACGCCCCCTCCCTCCCTTCCAACTCCTCCCGATTCTCCCTATCACTTTTTCTTGACAACTTAGTGTATTGTTTTTAAATGGGGCTTTTTGCCTCTGAAGAGGTAACCCTAAAATCTTTTAGGGATTAGATAAGAGCTCCCAAATACTTTTGACATTTTTGGCCTTTGGAACAGAGAATGTTGCTAAGAGGCCCAAGGACGTTGTGACTTTTAGCCAAGAAACTGGCTACTTTTCTTTGGGGGTATTTTTATCCTAACTGCCAGTTCCTGCCTCCTATTCTCATCACACCATCCTCTGATGAGGTTACCCAAATTGTTGATGGGGAATTGGGACACAGACCACTCTGACTTCTTCCATGCTGAACAGGGACATGGGGTGAGGCAATTGGGGTACTCCTTCAGTGGGCCTATCTAAAAGACTCCCTGATTGTATAACTCTTAACTGTAGAGAGAAAATAAAGTCCTTTACTGGTACCTAGGAGATGTGAAGGAGAAGTAAAGGCAAGAGTAGTTAGCATTACTAGGTCTAGACAGGGAACCAGAAAAGGGCAGATTTCAAATGTTCATATCAGAGTCCATTGGAATTTCTTGGCGAGAGCTTCCAAAAGCATGCCTCTATTGGGTTCCTGCTCATTTTTCTTTTGTCTGCCAAGGCTGGTACTTTGAAGACTATACTAACCTGGTCAAAGGAACTTAAAGGACAGTTTTTTGCTCCTTACCCTCCAAGGTCAACTAAGTTCCAGGAGACTATGGAAAATTTCTCAAAATTTCCTCTAACTGTGGCAAGTTACCTGTCTTCTTGTTCAGGGAGGCCATGGAGACCCCACTAGGTGGACTTGAACCAGTGTCCAGTCTACAAAGAGGAAGGTCAACTCAGAGGAAACATCTTATCCATGCTTCCAAGTGAAGCCAGCCAAGGTCGAGCAGGACCTTTGACTTATCTTCACATAGGCGGAACTGGTAAAAGAAAGGAGCCAGGGGCTTTTCCCAAGCCCATGTGAAGAACAGATCCTCAAACAACCTTAAGAGTAAAAATAAATTGGTTTTTTTGGGGCCAACTGTATGGTCTTAAATACCCAAAAGGAATGTATAACCGAAGATTAAAGTGATCAGTATATTTAAGCGTTCAAGGGATTACACTTCCCAGACATTAGGCTTAAGTCCATATAAAATGGTATTTAGACAATTATTTCTCATTGATGATTTTGTTTCTAATTAGAAAGCAGTGCTTAGATGTAAGACTTCAAATCTTGATCTGCAATTCTGTAGTGCCCACCTGTAGCTAAGGGAGACAACCCACTATTGTTCTAAAATGATGGCTAAATTAGTTCTCTCTCCCTATCTAGAAGCCTTTGCGAGGAAACCAACACTGATTCTAGCCAGTCCAACAGCTATCAAAAGTGCCTGAAAACAAATCCTGAGTCCATGTTAAGTTTTCTTTAAGTTCTACTTGTAATAATATTGATCC